CCCCCCCCCCCCCCCCCAGCGACCTTCCCGTGGGGAAGGATGGGAAAGGGGAAAAAAAAAAAAGAATAAATTAAAAATCCCCCCTTAATCCTAAAATGTAACCACCCTCGGGATAATCCCGGGCACATCCGTGGCATCGCCGCTCCCCGCCGGCGGAAAACGGGAGCCCCCTCTCCCGCCCGAGCGATCCCGCCGGGAGAAGGCACGGACCTCTTGGGAACGTCGATGCTGCTGGACACGGATCTCTGCAGGATCCCGGCGGGAGGTTGGAGCGTGTCCTGCACCCTCCAGCAGCCCTGCGAGCCCTGCTCTGGCAGCAGCACCTTCCCCTGCTCACATTCCTGCCCGTTGGAGGTGACGAGGACCTGGAAAAGGCACGAGGGGGGGTTGGTGTCGCCCGCCATCCGTGTCCTCCCAAAGGATCCCTCCGCCTGCTCTTCCCACAGGAAAGGGCTTCAGGATGAAGGCTGATCCTGTCCTGAAGGGCTTGGACTTGACTGATGTCCCAGCGGGCCAGAGGGGTGGTCAGGGTTCATCCCGACCCACCGCCAAGAGATCTTCCTTCCCCCCCAACTCCAGCAATCCCAGGCTGAGGGAATTCCCGAGCTGGAATCAGCCGCCTCCGAGCGTCGTGGCTTTGGGTGGACTTTTCTCCAAGGAATTCGTCTGCTCTGGGTTCATTCCCACACCACCAAAAGGATTAAAACCTGGAAGGGGGGGGGGGGAAACGAGGGAGCGGAGACTTCCTGGGCGAAGCCATCCCGAATTCCGACTTCCTGGGCGAAGCCATCCCGAATTCCAACCTTGGCTCCTCCACTCCCAGCTCCCTCAGAGCAGGGAAAGGAGATGTGCAAACCTCGCCTCCTCCTTCCCAGAGTCCCAAACTCCTCCTCATGGGCACTTTTCCACTCCTACCAGCCCGATCCTATCTCTGTTATAAAGGAAACGTATCCGTGCCGACGGACGCTCCGTGTGTCCCCGGCTATTTCTGGGAACGGGAGCATCTCCTCGTGGAAGTGCCACGGGTGTCACGCCAAGGATGGGCACAGGATGGGCACACACACACACACAGAAACTGGGGTGGAAACACTCCAGCAGAAACCGGGGTAGAAAAAGCCCTCCCAAGGCAGGATCAAGGTGAAGGGAATCAGCACAAGGATCGAGACACGGAAAATCCTGACCCTGCTTCCTGAAAACAAGGATCGAGGCGTGCGTGGATCAAGGCTGTGTTGAGGAGCCACAAAACCACTCAGGGGCCCTCCAGTTTTGCCCAGAGGGGGTTTTATGGATCCCCAGGGAGCAGCCAGGATTTGGGATCTACGTCTCCTCGGCGCTGCCTGGCCAGGAATTAACGGGAACCGCTCCAGTGGGATTAAGAGCGACTGCTATTCCCTATCCCAGGCAGTGTCCTGGCCAAGGCCAGGCCCTCCTGAGCATCAGGAGCCCAGGACACATGGAATGTGGGGCGGCATTCCCACCTCACTCCTCCCCTTTTTCGTCCCAGACATCCAAAACCATCGGCCCTCAACCCGGACCGAGCTCCAAGGTCTGAGCCGGGAGGGGGCTCCTTGAAACTTCCCTTCGGATTTGAAGGTGGGTTATGGGCAGATGGGATAAATTCACGGGAGAGAAGCCCACTGGGAGCCACTTCAGGTATCAAAACCGCCTCCCTCAACCTCAGACAGCCGGAGAAAACAGGAGGGAAGTTATCAGGTGTTACTCCCTCCTCTCTGGAGACCCACTCCTGGCTGGGATTGGGGATATCTCCGGAGGGGATGGATCTCTGCTTGAGCTGGCACGGCCCAAATCCTTCAGGCACAGCCAGGGCCAAGAGCATTGACAACAACACCCACTAAAGATTCCTGGGAACCGCCCGTCCCCGCTGCATTTCCCATCAGGAGAACTCAGGACGTACCTGCTGCCCGGAGTGGAGCTGCCGGAGGCCGGAGAATCCGGGAGCCCGGCCGTTCTCCTCCACGGAGAGCGCGCAGGATCCGTCCTCGGGGGCGGCAGGAGCCCGGCCCGGCTCGGGCTGCAACCCCGGGATCTGCATCCCGTCGGCGGGGACGCGGGTGCCGAGCAGGGAGCGCTTCCCCAGGCGCCGGGACAGCGCGGTCGCCATGGCACTGCGGGGAGAGGAACACGGGGGAACGTCACGGAACCACGGAATCAACCGGGCCGGGAAAAGACCTCCGAGATCGTCGAGTCCGACCTACGACCGAACACCGCCTTGCCAACTAGACCGTGGCACTCGGTGCCACATCCAGTCTTCCCTTAAACATCTCCAGGAACGGTGGTGACCCCACCACCTCCCTGAGCAGCCCATTCCAGTGCCCGATCACTCTTCCCGTGAAGAACTTCTTCCTGATGTCCGACCTAAACTTAAGACTGTGTCCTCTTGTCCTACTGCTCGTTGCCTGGGACAAGAGACCGACGGTCATCTGGCTACGACCTCCCTTCCCGTCTCCCCTGAGCCTCCTCCTCTCCGGGATGAACAGCCCCAGTCACCTCGGCTGCTCCGCACAGGACTTGTGCTCCAGACTCTTCGCCAGCTCCACCGCCCTTCTCTGAACACGCTCCAGCCCCTCAACGTCCTTCCTGGATTCAGGGGCCCAGAACTGGACACGGCACCCACGGCAAGGCCTCACCAGCGCCAAGAGCAGGGGAAGAACCACTTCCCTAAGTCCTGCCGGCCACGCTGTTCCTGATCCAGGCCCAGGCCGCCCGGGCACACTGCTGGCTCCTGTTCAGCTTCCTGTCGATCCAAACCCCCAGGTCCCTCTCTGCCTGGCTGCTCTCCAGCCACTCTGTGCCCGACCCGTAGCACCGCAGGGGGGTTGTCGTGGCCAAACCTGCAGGACCCGGCGCTTGGCCTGGTTGAACCTCATACTCTTGGATTCGGCCCATCTGCCACGGTCCCCCTGCAGAGCCTTCTCACCAGTCCAGCAGACCGGCACTCCCCCCCCAGTTTGGTGTCACCTGCAAATCTGCTGATGGGTAGGTTTGATCCCCTCATCCAGATCATCAAAAAAGAGATTAAACGGGATTGGGCCCAACGCCGATCCCTGAGGGACGCCACAGCACCACGACGGGAGCCGGGAAAGCCCTGCGCTCCCAGGCACCGAGATTCCTTGGGAAAGAGCTCCCATCAACCTGCAGCTCGTCCTCGCGGTCGCTTCTAAGTCCTTCTGGGGACAAAACAGGGATGAGCCAGCCCAAGGGAAAGCCTGTGGATGCCCTGGGACAGCGCCGGGAGCCGACGTTCCCTCCGGAGCCGCCGCGATCCCGAGGCCGCCGCGGCTCTTCCCGCCTGTCCCGCTTCAACCCTGACCTCCAGACTTGGGGCCGCGCCCGGCACATCCTGCAATTCCCTGCCCTGAAAAACTCTCCCGTCAGCAAAACCCGGCGCCCCTTCCCAGCTGGCAATTCCAATGCTCCCCTTTTCGGGAAAGGTTCCTCCTCGTGCCCAGCCCTCCCAGAGAGGATCCGGCAACAAAAACGGGAGCATCCTCCTGCCCTGCTTTGTTGGAAAAGGGAGACTCAGGAGCGGTTTTTATCCCAAAGTGTTTCTCTGTGATGATCTTTAACCTACTTTGCCTCCAGGCACCGGGAATGGGATGTGTCCAACCACATCCCTGTTAAATCCAACGGCTCCGGCAGCTCTGCCACCGAGCGACAGCGTTTTAATGGCAGATGCCGCCTTGTTTTGGGGGTTTTCCGGGATTATCTCGGATGAGAAAAGCCTCCCAGAGGCACAACAGGGAGCTCTGGAGCCGTCCCAAGAAAGGTGACTCCGAGCCACATCCCGCTTCAAAGGACTGCCCGGGATTCGCGGGCGGGTTTTATGGATAACCCAACGCGCTCCGCTCGCTCCGTCCCGCCCCGGAATCCCGGGTAGAAAATTAACAGCGACCTGGGGGGAGCCGCAAAGGAACGGAGCCGGAAGAGCGGGACAGGGTGTGAAGCGGGATCAGGGGCGTGCCAGGGAAAAGCACCTCGTGCCAGGGCTGCCCCTGCAGGGATTTCGCCGCTGGCGGCACCTTCCCTCTGGAGCGGGATCAAAGGGGCCGCTCTCCCGGCTTCCCTCTCATCTCGCCCCGCCCGGGAATACGCCGGATTTCGGGATTTCGCGGCGTACGGGGGGGTGCTCTTGAACCCGTTCTTTTTTTTGTTGGTTTTTTTTCCTGACGAATCCACGCGGGAATCGCTCATCCAAAGGGACACCGGGAAGGCCGGGAGGGGGACAGGGCGGCGGTGGCACATCCCAGAGCGAAGTCCCTCCTCCGGCACCGACCACCCCACACGTTTCCTTCCCGTATCCACACCGGGAAAACCTCAGCGCTGGGATATCCCGGGATTTTTGGGAGCGTGGAAAACGGTGCCGGATCTCGGCCGCCTTCCCGCCCGGCTCCGAGGCAGCTCCTGGCGGGCAGCCAGGAGGGCAGCGCCGAAGGTGGAGAGGCTGCTTCTCATTTCCTTCGGGCTTTCGCTTGGCCTTCCCTCTTCCTTTCCCCCCCCCTCTCCGCCTCCGGCCCGGGAATGGAGCGGGAAGGAGGAGAGAGGGGGAAGGAAAACCCTCCCAAACTTTTCGGAGCCACATCTGCTCCCGGCCGGATCCCATTTGGGGCGCCCGGGGGGGCGGGGAGAAAACACCGAGGCCAAAAAAAAAAATCCTTCTCCTCATCCACGTCCCAAAACACGGGGAGCGAGAAGAGGAGCGGGAGCTGGGAAGGCAGGCGGGGCCGGGGGAGGCCACGCTGCCTCCGGAGCCCTCCCAGCTGTTCCCAATCACGCGCCGCAGGGGTCAGAGCCGGCACAGATCCCAAATTATTCCCCTGCTCCGACAGCCCGGGCGTGCATTTTGGCCGGCGTTTTTCCAGCTCTCGAGCCTGGAGGAGGGGGAGGAAAACGTCAGCCCCTTGTGTCAGCCCCCTGTGCCCGGGAACCGGCTTTGGGAAAGCGGGAGCCCCCGTTTGGCAAACGAGGAATGCTTGGATTGGCAAGGGAGGGGACGGGGTAAAAGCGGGGAGGGTGTCCCAGTGCTCATCCCGGCTCCTGTTTGCCCGGGGGTTGCCGGGAGAAAGGCAGCTCCTGCTTTCCCTGCCCCACGACCAGGACCACCGGCGCAAATCCCCTCTCCAGAGAACGTGCAGTTCGAGCACAACCCGGGTTTCCCTGGTTTTTTTTTATTTTTATGGATAAATGCTGGTAGGTCTCCCCAAATCCAGCCTAACTCCTGCCACGGATCAACAACCTGGACCACAAAGTCCAGGCTACGACAGACCCCAAACGCTGCCAAGAACTGATAACGAGCCCAGTTTTTCCCCTCTCCCGGCTCTCCCGGTTTCCAAAAAAGCCCCTTCTCATCCCAAAATATCCCGAAAGCTCTTTGCAAACCGCGCTCCTGCCCCCTGTGACCGGGAAAGGAGATTATCCACAGGGATATATCCACAGGGATCTCTCGTTTTTACAGAGTTTGGGCCTGGATTAAACCAAGAGGCGACAAGGATCTGCTGAGCCCGAGTCGGAACCAAAAAATCCCGACGCTCCCGGACAATAACACAAAACAGGCGCTTCCAAGAGTTTCCTCCTAATTCCACCTCGTTTCACAAGCGTGGGTCATGCCCAGGGATGTGTCACCACGGGGAAAGAAAGGCTCCCTGACCCTCATCCACGCCGGGGCGATTCCGGAGGGAAACGATTCGGGAGGAAAACGCATTTTTGGAGGTCGCGCTCCCGACCGTATCCATGTTTTCGGTGCCGGCGAGGGCAGGGCGACTTCCCGAAGGCATCGGGGAGCCGGGGCTGTGTGTGTGTGTGTGTGCGCCGGCAGCGAGGGCAGCCGGGAAGGGAAGGGAAGGAAAGGGAGGGAGTTGGCGCTTTCTGGGAGCGGTGCCGGCGCCCGGGAGGAGCGGGCACAGGGATTCACGGCACGGACTGCGGGCACAGGGATTCACGGCACGGACTGCGGGTGTTCCCGTGTGCGGGGCACGTGGGGAAGATGGCAGGGCTGGAGGCACGGGAGGAGCAGCAAGAGGAGGAGGAGGAGGAGGAGGAGGAGGAGGGTGCCCGGGCCTGCCGCGGAGGGCGGCACCGGGCAGGGCACGTGTGCGAGGGGCGGGGGACGGGCACGGGCAGGGGAGGAAGGGAGGAAGGGAGGA